CCCCTTACCTAAGCACGTGGTTGGTTGGGCTCGTGGCTCGTCCATCTTTTTGCAGCTATGCACAATGCTTTTGGTGATTGCCAACATGCAAAAAGTTCCGGCGGTGGTGCACTCCGGTCAACTACTCCCCATCGTATGTGTTTGGTACATGGTGTGTTCTGATGGTTGTGCCCCTCCGATAAAAGACGCATGACTCCGGTAGTTTGGTGCGCTCCAATACTTTTGATTCTCTGGTGAAGACGCGTATGTAATGCATGACGGTTGGTCTCCCGATAATCGAAGAGGGGCGCGCACATGATTAAGATCATATATGAAAATGAAATGGAACTTTATCGCTCTATTTATAGGGACTTATTTCCTCCAGTTTTATATACACATGACCCATATGAATTTCTTAAGTGTTTTCTGTGAACTTTCACTCTTTAAAAAGAACGCAACTATGATGCTCTACAACTTACAATACTTGTACATTTATATTGGCAAGTTAATTTTATGAATCCTCTGCTCATAAAAATGAACTAGAATGTGTTGATCCACTTCAACGAAGAGATGAGCTGTAAACTTGTAATGAAGCCATTGAAGAGGTTGTAGAACTAACGAGAAGTAAGAGCGAGAAAGGATCTATTATGCAATTTTGAGCCTAATTTTTATATCCACTTAGTGGAGGCTAACCAAAAGAAAGTATTGGGTGAAATACTTCAATTGCAGAGAAATCTTCCTCTCTCAACGAAGCATAGCATCTCGTGATGTTATCTTTTGGAGGGAGGTCATTGACAGTACGATGGATTCAATTCTTGTCAATAATATATGGAAGTCAGTAGTAGACTTAGTGCCCAGTTCTAAACCTATTGAATGTAAATGGCTTTTTAAAAAGAAAAAGAATGCCGATTGGTCCATTAACAAGTACAGATTTCAAGAGTCGCAACTATTGACTATTGAGATCACGCATGAAAGTAAAAGGGAACTTTTTCTCTCTATATAAAGACTTATTTCCTCATGTTCTACATACACGGAACCCATATGAATTTCCTAAGTGTTATTTGTAAACTTCCTCTCTCTAAAAAAAAGGCAACTATTATGCTCTAGAATTTGCAATATTTGTACATTTATATTGACAAGTTAATTTCCTCAATCCTCTACTCATAAAAATGAACCAGAATGTGTTGATTCCCTTCAAAGAAGAGATGAACCATAAACTTGTAACAAACCCATTCACTTCGACCTAACAAGAAGTAAAAGAGTGAAAAAGGAGCCATTATACAACTTTGAGCCTAATATTTATATCCACTTGGTAGGGGTTAACCAAAAGAAAGTATTGGGTGAAAACGCATGACTTCAACTATGGAGGAATATTCCTCTCTAAGCAAAGCACTAGCATCTCATGATGGTGTCTTTTGGAGAGAGGTCATTGATAGTGAGATGGATTCAATTCTTGTTAATAATATATGGAAGTCAGAAGACTTACCGCCCAATTCTAAACCTATTGAATGTAAATGGGTTTTCAAAAAGAAAAAGAATGGCGATGGGTCCATTAACAAGTATAAGGCCAAGTTTGTTGCTAAGGGTGTTAAATGAAAAGAATGTATAGACTATTTTGACACTACTACTTGCTCTTACATCCATTAACTATCAAATTACTGACCAAATGGATGCAAAAAATGCATTCCAAAATCTTGAGCTGGACAAAGAAATTTATATATAACAGCTAGAAGGGTTTTTTTTTTTTTTGAAGTAAAAGTGGTAAGTCAGTGGGGATTTGGGCTCTTACCCTTTGGTGAGGATGGAGTCAGAGACCTCACCATGAGGCTCGATAATACTACCACCAAGGCCCTAGGCCATTCTCCTAGAAGGGTTTGTTATGTTAGGTCATGAGCACAAAGTGTGTAAATTGGTCAAACCATTGTATGGGCTGAAACATGCTCCAAAGAATTGGCACAAAAGTTTGATAATCTTTATGTGGATGATTATATTACTATTTGGCCTTAACTTGAAAGTTGTAGAAGAAACCAAAATGTTCCTCAAATCTAACTTTGATATGAAAGATCTAAGAGTGACTGATGTGATACTTTGTATCGAAATAGTGAGAGAGGACGAGACTTTGGTGTTAACCCAATCTCACGGCATTGAAAAGATGCTAAGTAAATATGAGCGTAGTGATTGTAAACCAGCACTCACACCAATGGATCGTCATATAAAATTAATGAAAAATGAAGATGTATTTCTCAAATTGAGTATGCAAGAATAATTGGTAGTCTAACGTATGCAATGAGCTGCACAAAACCAGACATTGCGTATGAAATGGGAAAACTCAATAGCTATACTAATTGCCCAATTAGAGAGCAGGGATGAAATCTCTTGAGTTTTGAGATATCTCAAAGGAACTATCAATTATGGCATATGTTATATTGATTATCTCTCGGTGTTGAAAGGTTATAGTGATACAAGTTGGAGCACGGAACTCAAAGAATCACTATCCACACCAGATGCGTATTCACCTTAGGCGGTGGAGTGATATCATGAGGCTCAAATAAACAAATGTGCACTTCTCGATCGACTACGGAGTTGGAGTTCATTGCACTAGATGTTGCTTATGAAGAAGCAAAATGGTTAAAGAAATTTATTTCAAGGAATTTCATATTCGCCCAAGCCGATACGGGCAATCACAATTAATTGTTATAACTATAATAATTGCTCAAGCAAATAATGATGAATATACCGACAAATCTAGACATATTGCGTGCAAACATAACTCCATCCAAATGTTAATTAAAGACAGTGATTAGTCTAGAATTTGTAAGGTCAAAAAATAATTTAGTGGATCCCTTGACAAAAGGGCTTGCAAGGGAAGACGTCAATCGGATATCGAATAGAATGGGGCTAGAATCCACAAAAGTAACCACCAATGGTGGGAACCCAATCTAAGCCTTTGGTTACCTCAAGGGGTCGAGATTTAATACAGTAAAAAAGCTGTTTGGGTGATTAGTGAAATCACTAGATATGTTTAATGTATTCATAAGCACCCATTCTTAAAAAATCCACAAGGTGAATAAGTATAGTGATGACCTGCATGCCAAGAAAGGTTGAGCTACACTCTTAGTGAGTACTATATGATTGATATCAGTTGGAGTGTCATATATGCAAAGGCACTCTTGATAGACGCACCTATGACTATGGAAGTGATGCTGCTTCTTATGGGATTGGACTCTTGATAGACTCACCTATCAATATGGAAGTGATGCTGGTTCTTATGGGATTGGACTTGTACTTTAGAGCACTCGTAAAGTAGGGATATAAGGTCAAGGCCCATAACAAGCTGGCAGTATAAAGAGTCGTTGAAGAGTATATGTCATTTGGCAATATAAAGAGTCGTTGAAGAGTATATATATATCATTTGTGTGAAGATCCTTGGTTCAAATCTATATGCTTATCGCATGACCATTGATACAAGCTATGCGCCGCACCGACAATTGACATTTCAAGAGCCGCAACTCTGGACTATTGCGATCACATGTGAAAGGAAACTTTATCTCTTTATACATAGGGAATTATTTCGTCATGCTTTGCATACACATAACCCATGTGAATTTCCTACGTGCTTCTTGTGAGCTCTCTATAAAAAAACGTTAACTTTGGTGTTCTACAACTTGTCCTGTGCATTTGCATTGGAAAGTTAGTTTCTCAATCCTCTACTCATATGTATCTCGAGAATAAGTTTGCTTGCTTGGTAGAAACTTAAGTGTACATTGATTTTTATCACTAATGAGCAAAGGTTGTCTAGAGAAATCTTTCTATTGCGTCTATGATCAGAAAAATTGAAACATCCTTTGCTTTCTACCTCTTTATTTTGCCCCTTTTCACCCTCCTATTTCCAACATCTTCAATGATGTGTGGCCTTCCCTATTAACTACTACAATTTCTTGAAAACACATTGAGATTTTACATGAAATCTACACGTAAAAGACCCAGTAGCTTGGGAATCAAAGACTAAAGATAACCTTCTTAATTAACCAACCACTCCTTTATCTTAGAAAAAAAGAAACTACCGATCATTGACATAGCATTGTGTAAACCAGAGTATTGAATACATCCTTATTATTTACAGAGTCGAGCCTACTTGTGAAAGGTGAAAGTGAATTTAAATAGTCACGATGTTGGAAACATGCAGATAACATTATATACAGGCAGTTCCTCTCTGCTACAACTTACAAAATCATATCCGAACTGCCAACTAAAAACAACCTGCATAGAAAACATGTAAAACAATAAACTATCATCATCTCCATCACAACAATCTTTGAAATTTAAAATAGAAACTAGTAAACAAGAAAATTGAGACCTGCAAGGTAAAAAATATGAGCTCTGAAGCACTGGATTTATAGTGTTGTTCACACCATCTCTCGATTTGTGCTTGCATAAATAACCATTAAAAGAAAAGGGAAAGAAAAAGAGTGATCCTTGCCTTAAAGCCAATTTAATCTTCTATATACCACCCAAATTTTGTTGGGATCTCCACAAGAAATAAGCACACTTACCAAGAAATTAAAAGACAAGCACAGTTACTGGTACTAGTAAAACGATCTTTTTTTAGTTAAGTACTACTAAAATTGAACTCGGCCAAGAGTTGCACAAGCTCTAATACTTTGAATATTTTATCGTATATAATGCAACACTCGTAAGTCGTAACAAATGAAAATTCCATGTAAAATGGTGAAACAGACTTTACCTTGGAGGCAAGTGTACCCAGAAAAACATCACAAGAAGCTTCAGGATACACACCATGCAAACCCCAGAGGGTAACCTCTGATACAGCCATCATCTCACAAGAATGCCTTCGAATATCTTCAGGCAGGTCTTGGGTCCTTCCACCAGGCAATATCAGCTTAACACATGTCAATGCCGATCAAACACTTTCATGGACTCCCCATGACACGCTACGGCAGCGGCGTTTCTTCAAGTTATCCTGTGGAAAAAGCAGTTTTTAGTTGCAAGAACTGTTATTTTGTTTTATTTTAAAAAACGGATCGGTGGGATGTTAGCCCATCCACATATCGCAATCTGGATTGGCCGAATTGGTGATCGCGACCATCCAATTTGATCCAAAAATAAAACAGCTAAGGGACAAAACAAAGTATATTATTTATACATGTAGAAATTTGTTAAAATGAATGAATGACGTGTTAGCTAGACTTTGTGCTTAAGAAGTGCAAGGTTGAGGGTTCAAATGCCCTCTCTTATTTTTTGTTTGACCTTCAAAAATGGCTCTTAAAGAAAAATAGCTCTTTTAAAGAGCATCTTTGGGGGTTCGAACCCTAAATTTATCATAGGAGAACTAAATATGATAGCCGACTAAGCTATTAAAGCTTAGTTGTCTTATATTCTACTTGAAATAATAATTGAATAAAAAATATGCCCCTCTAAAAAAGTGGCGTTGGGAGATTTGAAACTCAAACCTCTGATAATATACCAAAGATGATAGCCAACTAAGACATTCAACGTTAGTTGCTGTATTATTACATGTAATATATATATTAATCAAAATGCCGCTTCTGACCGAGAACCGGCACGGTCAATGGCAACTCCCGATCCCTATCGTGATTGCCAATTTTCAATCTGGATCTATGAATTTTTTAACACTAATTTTGATTGTTCAAGCAGTGTTCACGTAAACCAAAATTAGAAGTGCATTTAGGGTTGAAGATTTACAGGAATTACAGCAAGCAAAAGCATCACATTTACTTCTCTGTTTTTAGTATGACACTTAGTTCAATTGTTTTGAACTTCTTTCTTGTACAATTACCTGCAGTGGCCTCCAGGCATGAGAAAAAGGTAAACTGATCCCATTTGAGAAGTTATTTAATTGCAACATTAATAAGTGGTTTATGAGTCTATCTACGAATTACCCTTTTTTTGTTTTTTTTGAGGAACTAATTGTCGTCACTTAGAAGAATATATATGCAAGCAAACACATAAGCTCTAATCACTTCACACTTTTGTCCGACCATAACCCTCCTTGATAATAGAAATTGTATCTGTATTTGTGGTGTTTAGGTAATTGAGATATGCATGGGAATAACTAGGGTCTAGAGGTAAAGTCTAAACTCTTCATGCATTTCCTCTTGGTGGTGGATCTTCAATCACACACATATATCTGAATAACGTTACACATTCGGGTCCGTTCAATCCAGGCGACTTTCAACCATCATAAATATAAAAGACAACCTCATATACATTTTAACCAAGAATGTTACACTCAACCTCACACACACACCCAGAGGATACATGCCAAAAGTAATTAATGCATATCTAGCAGTTGTGTCAGTGGGTCTGTGAAGGGAAATAGACAGATTCGAAAAGGAGCTCTCATTGCCCACAACTGTATCAATTTGAGGATAAGGTGGGCAGAGCACGGTTTCTTTAATCATTATCAAGGGGGAACAAAATAAGCCTATGATGATTGGGAATCTTGGACTATCTCGTATGGGTTCGAACTTTGAAGAATAAATGGAGAGATATATGCTTGCATCCCATTTCTTTCCTTTTTAGCAATGAAATTTACATTTGCGAAACCCGAACATGGAAAGATATAAAGGAAGACCAGGCCCATGGGAAAGTACATTCCATATGAAGTCTACTCTACACAGCACTCCAGTCCATTACAGACATGTCAATCCTCCACACGCTAGCAATGGTGGCCGATAAACTAGAAAAGATTCAACAGGAGTATTTGTGGCACCCTAATAGCCGTCAACAATGATGAGTTAACAACATTGCTTATGACTATGACTTCCTAAACACTAAATCATATGTACTGACTTGGTTCTTGAAGGAAAATCCAACATGAGGAAAGCATGCATCCAAGGCAATAGATAAAAACATGCTAATACGGAAAAAGACACCTTAAAGCACATAGAAGCATAAGACATGCACTTCAAATATATAGATCCAAATTTAATGACATAAACTGAAAAAAAAAAAATTCCTCCAAATGAAAATCATGAACAGTTTCCATACATTTATAAAATACAAGATCCAAGGATGAAAAGCCGACTCAGCACGGCTATTTATGCATCATTCCAAATGCTTGATATTTTGGAAGCCAATAAATAATGCATAATGAATGTGGGATAGCTTCCTTATCTGATGCACTGTGTCAAAATTAGGGTGCAAGCTGTGCATAAGTACACATTGAGGTTCCAATATTACACATCACTTCATTCCAAAATTTGTATCAACCTTGATGGAAGTATCTTACAGTTATGCATTTCACAGAGGTATGGATTTCAAAGACACAAATGTAAAGTACATCCAGCTAAAAACAGAAATAAAGATAATAAGAAATTATTGATTCAGTTTCCTCCTCGTAGGCAACAAGACATCATTCAACATTAAGACGTACATCTATCTATAAGACTTGAAATAAGTTCTGGGGAAAGATTCGTCACATGACATCCAGTGGAAAAAAATGAGGACCCAAGTATTAACCAAATCTAGTCAAATATATAATGTTTGCTTGACTTGAAAAAAAAAAAATGTCAACTTAGTGTAGAGTACCTTAGAAGATAGGGGAGGTAGAGAAGACTGACGCCCACCAATTTTGGGTTCTGTTAAGTGTCGAATCGCACGAAGTTGATGAGCTATTTCCTCCAAAAGCCGCAATTGAAACTTCTCCCTTTCCCTGTGTTCTAAAGAGATGTTTAACTTCTCTCTTCCTGCGTCAATTGCTTTCAACTTCTCTGTCAACCACCCAACTTCATTTTCAATCTTCAGTTTCTCATTGTCGACAACTGACATAGAATTTCTTCGGAGTTTGGGAAATGAAGAATTGCCACAAGCTCCATTCGATGGAAGCAGTTCTCTTATTGAATCCAAACTGCTCCTGGAAACATTAAAGCCAGGCTCCCATTGGCTCTTACTTGAATGACCACTCGATCCATCATTCTTGCTGAATCCAGAAGTACAAACTAAAGGCAATTCTTTACTAATATCCACAATAGGATTGAGCAAATGGGATTCACCATCTCCCCCTTTGCCCTCATCGCAAAACAGAACTTCGTTTGTAATGACATGCACATCATGAATCTTTGATTCATTGTCAATTTGAGGATTCTGAGAATCCTCGCCTTGTCCAACTATTTCTTCCCTACAGTTATCCAGAGAATTGCAAGAAATGTTGTGCTTCATAATACCACCTTCATCGGTATCTTCACAACAAGCTCTCGTGTTTCCATTATTTTTCTCTGTATCTTTGTTTATTGGAAAACAAGCATTCTCAAGAAAACAATTTTCATGAGGCCGGTCTAATTTATACAACACAAATTTTTCTTCTGATTGCGAATGCTGACTTGGGAAGACATATTGGCTACAATCAATCGATACCATGCTCTTTTCATGAACTTCTAAACTGAACCCATCTGTGAACTCTGGAGGACACGGATCCTCATTTGCAATACTTTCAGATCTTTGAACACCATTTTGGCTAGTGTTCTCCTCTGCGGGATGATTATCACCTATTTTTTCCTTCCTAGAAAGTGAGTCACCAATCTGTTGAAGAATCAAGATTGGGTCATCAATTGAATCATGAGAAAAAAGTCTTCTCCCCACTAATTCGTTGGCTTCATCACCCAGAAATTCTACAGCCAGTTCATTTGTCCCACTAGAAAGCATCTGGCGATATACCTCAACTTCCTTTTCCAAAACAAGTTTCTCTCTCTCGCGCCTCACAAGGATCTCTTTAAGAACACTCCTCTCTTCTTCATCATATGTAGCTTTCTCTTCAATCATCCTTTGATACTGCCGAGCCTCCATTTCTATCACCGCCTTCTCTTCTTGGAGGCGTAGTATCATTGCCATGGCTTCATCAGCAGCAGTTGCTGCCGCACTTCTCTCTTTCTCTAGCTCATTGTAAAGTGCAGTGCGAGAAGTACGTTCTTCCTCAAGAGCCTTGCCCAAAATTCTTATGGTGTCTGCCTCATTACCCATGAGGCCTTGCTCTCCTAATGAACCCTCCACTAGTGCTTCTACAAAAGAGGTATCCTCCTCTATAGTGTTATTATCTTCACTGAAAAGTTCCTTTGACACACCATGCATATCTCCAACCATCGCATTCCCATCTGAACCCTCCCCACTATCTGCAACTTTGAAACAACCAAAATGATCAACCACAACCGTGCCACGCTAATTTCGGGGAAATTACAATTTCTAGTTATTACAAGAACAAGGTAGAAATCATGACATTAAAATACTTGTTTACGCCAGGCTATATTGGAAAAGTGAGGGGCCATCCATATAAACAACATTGTGACAGTATAAAATTTTAAATAGCTTGTAGAAAATCACCACTTCAAGTAAGCCTGTGTTCAAAGAATGAAGTCAAGGCACAACAGCATACCACAAATGCCAGGAGCTTATCACAATCAAAAACAGAAGTTTAACAAATTGGGATGACCTAAATTGAGTTCAAGTTTTTTTTGGGTGAATAAATGAGTTCAAATTAAATCATCCTTACTAACATTTGGATGGTTGGTTTGAAAATGTGAAAGAGAATAAAATTCCACAAAAATATTTCATTCGGAATTTGCAGACTATAGATCAGTAGCAATTAGTAAACTACGATGCCATAAGATTGAACTTTCCATTGAAAAACATTTTTTGGAACAGCGAGGAAGCAAATATAGTTACCATCTGCAATAAAAATATGAATAGCTTGCAAAAAACCCACATCTGCAACTTAAACATCTGCTTAATCATCAACACAAGGCACAGCAGGAGACTAACAAATACCAGTTGCCAGCATAATATGAAACAAAGTTCGTCAAAAAACTGGGAAGAACGAAATTGATTTCGAGTTAGATAATCCATAGAAAGCAAAATTAATCACTAAATTCCAACGATTCAAATGGAATTCAAATAAGACAATCCATCAAAACATAATCATGACGATTAAGGTATGACCCCATTTTAGTTTAAAGCTTAGATGATGCATCAAAACCACAATCTAACACAAAATTGGGATGACCCCAAATAAGATCCAGTTATAAAATCCTTACTAACATTGCGACTGATTCATTTTGAAATGTGATGATGGATGGAAGCTTTCCACAGGGTTCTCTCTAGATAGCTCACTGGAATTCAACGGCGAATGATCACCTCCTTCCCCAAAGGACCGAGACAATGATAGTTTGATTGATGACCTAGCATCACCAGAAGCTCTGCGTCGACGATGAAGGCTTGAACGTGACCTTGGGTTCCATACTCCCTTCCCCTTACTCGAGAGGGACACACTCCCTTGACAGGGAGAAGCTCTGAATTCAACCATATCCCATTCACTCTTAGCTCGAGTCTCATCAACAATGGAACTTCTGAGCGTTTGAGCTTCTGAAGCAGAACTACTTGATTCATCATCCGTCTTGTGATTCAAACCTAGAGCCCCATCACTGGTGTTACCTATCTTTAAATTATCATGTTCTCGACCAATATCTCTTAACCAAATTGTATCATAGGGGAACTTGTTTTGTAAAGACATCTGAAGAGAAGAAGACTTTCTCGGAGGGAACTCAACGAGTACTCGTTGGATGCAGAAATGGCCATTACCAGAGTTCATTGGATCCCCAAAGAGTCCATTACAGGTGCAGGGAAAGTATAAACCAAATATTCCCATAAATTTTGCAGTGAAGAAGGCCATCGCTGATCCACAAAGCATGAAAAAAGCAATAGAGAGATCCAGGAAAGCCCCAATCAATGAACAAAAGGTCCACGAATGAATCACAGTACAAGCCATTTTTTGAGTGTATCGACCACCTTCACAGAAACCCTAAACAACAATATCAAAATTAAAAACAGCATAATCAGGACCACTTCTCCAAATGATCCCATTAAAAAAACCTAAAATTAACAGGATTTTATAAAAATTAACAGGATTTTATAAAAACAAACAATCGATAAATGTCTATTAACGAGTGAAGACATCAGAACCAAAAGAGAAACAACCATGGAAAATCAAAAACCAAACCATATACTTGCAGTAGAACAGACGAACCATCAAGAATCCGGAAAATCTTCTGAAACGGGAACTCAACAGAGAAGTGTAGTTCTTACCTTAGGGAAAGAAAATAACGGAGAATAGGACAAAAATGGAACCCCAAACCTAAATTTGCAGGAACTCGAAGTCACGAGTGAGTTGCAGAGTTCAAGGCAAAACAAAATTTTCGGTCAGGTTTCGGGCAGCCGAAACCACGACAGTTTTATGGGCGGCTCAAGACAAGGGCACCACTTTCTCGGGGTGCTCGAAAAGAGCTCGCGAAAGGCTACAGTTTTAGGTGCGGTTGCAACCTCATTGGAGCAAATAAGGTCGACGGTCTCCGCATAGGAGATTTTTTTGGTGTCCGGTGACGTATTAAGATTCGATAATCTATACCATCTATTTTATTTGAACGGTGTAGATTTGATATATTTTTTAATATATAATCAATGCATAACATATATTTTAAAATAAATAAATATATAAAAGATATTTATTTTTATACAAAAAAATCATAATTATTTTTATCCATCAAATTTCAAATCAAATGGGTGTAAGTGTACTTCAAATTAAAAATTGTTAAAGAGAGATAAGAGAATAAGTATCTCATTTTATGAGGAGATACCTCATTTTGTAGATTTTCTAGATCAAAGATTTTGTCTCAATTCGTAAAGTCAAATTTCAACCGTCGATCTAAAGAGACTTGTGTGTGGGGTGAGAGATTTGACTATATATTTCGTTGATCCGCCATCAAGATTCAAAGAGATGGGCTAGAGCTTTGTCTTCCATTTCCTAAATTTATTCCCATCAAATAAGAAAAATTTATATTTTAATATATCCAATCATTTAATCAATCAATCTTGATTCAAAAAATTAGTAAATATCTCAAATATTCAACATTATCTCATAAGTTGGCTATACCTAAAAACTATAAGCCAATAAAAGGATTAACATTCTTTCCAAAAAGTATACGTAAATGGGTAGGGCGTGCCACCTTTTTTATGGCCACGTGTGGGCCCACCTAATCCACATGTATTTAAATTTTGGACTCTATATTTTATGGAGGTCCCAAATATTTTTTAAAAATATTTTATTTCATATTTAGAATTTTTAAATTTTATATTTTATTTAAAATATTGAAAAATTAATTTCTTTTAATTTATAAATCCAAATGAGAAAAATAAAATATCATAAGATACACAAAAATTCAAATAAATATTATAAAAGTCACATAACATAAAATTAATTAATTTTGATGAGAATCAGATACATTAGATCTAGGAAATTATCAATATATATGAATACTCCACATGCAACTGCGAATCACGATCCGCCGAGCTTTCTCAAACTGACTCAATAGTTCCCATGATCCACAACCCACTGCAGGGATTCATGATTGGACCACCAAAGTCAGCCAATAGACTAAGGGACGCAATCCCAGTTTATGGATTTCAAGTTCTCCTCTAGAGACAAAAAAATCATAGTCCTCCAGACCATGGTGCAACCATGACTCTATAGTGCATAGGGGTAATCTCTCGCAGATGTATACACTTCACCCTCACTAGCGAATCTCAAAATGGCTATCTATGTACATATCGTACGACGATATAACGATAAGGTTTTAGCCCTATATCTTAAAGCTATTCATCGCACACAATGGCTACATAGTCAATTGGCTCTCATCTGGGCATACTCCGACCTCATCAAGGGATAACCCACTAAACCATTCTCGATAAGTTTTGGGTTTTCCAAACCTCGACTGCCCTAGTTCGTCGAGCTTAGTCCGAATATCAGCAAATAACATTTGCCTAGTATGGTCCATAAAAAGATCACACTCCTATTGAGTTTATGTTCCACTATATAAAATGTTCATACAAACTCTCATAGAGCCTTTAAATGTCACATAAATCCAACACTTCACTGTTTGAGGATGAGGGCGAGCATTTCCCCCTGAACATACGAGTGTGATTCCTCGAGCCATGGCATGGAATGCACCAATGGCTAGGCCCTCACCTTCGTCCACATAAGAGTAAAAGGGTAGACTGGGGGTGCTAAGGGAAATAGACAAGACATCCACCCCATCATGGATTGCATGGTCAAAGGCCTTCAGTATGGCCGCAGCGGACCCGCCAAACGCTCATAAGACCTTGTACACAACAAGCCGAGCAAGTGGTGCTCCACTCCGGGCCACCCCAACCGCCAGCCCACGATACATAATGGATGCTACTGAAAAGCCCATTGCGGTGGAGGCACAGTGTGTGCCATGGCCATCAATGTCACGAGCAGATAACATCTCGGTAGGGTCAGCAGTGGACATGGGTTCTCCTAGCTCTGCTTCGAGCCCTTTGACGAACCAACGAGCACCGATGAGGTTGCAATTACAAATTAGATGAATTGAATTCATGGCTTGGTTGGCAGATTCCCTTCCATTGGCCTGGGATGGGACCCATGCGCTTGTCATTGACGCTCTCTCTGACTAAGGCAAGGCTCCTCGAACACAATTACATAATGGTGAAGGCTTCTGGAACATAACTACATAATGGTGAGTCCTTCAGTTAGGGGATGCAGTTTCTATAATGCCTAGGCGTTAGAGAAAATATAAAGCCTCACCTCAAAACTTTGTTCACAAAATACTTATGATGGCTCTAAAATCTATTTATAATTATTGATCGTAGAATTTAAAAAATGGTACATATCTCAAGGACCTATGAACACTTGAAAATGGAGGGTCTCGATGATGCGATACGATACATATTATTTTTAGGGCTTGAAACACTATAAATAGAAAAACTATTTACACTTTGGGATTATTATTATTATTATTATTTAAAATAGTACTTATGGAAAAAAACACATCTAAATCACATAAAAAATTTATATAATATTTTCACTTTTTATAACTTTTTTTATTTTTGATATGTACAAATACATAGGCATTATATAAAAAATTTATATAATATCTTCACTTTTTATTACTTTTTTATTTTTGATATGTACCATTTCTTTTTCGATCAAAACTGCATGGCTACGTCAAAAGGTTAGCTATACTAATTATGACTCAACACTACTAATGAACGGATCAATGGATCCACTTGAAAAAAATTCCTAATTTATGCACTTGGTTTCAAACGTGGAGCCACCCAAAGTCATCTTTCCCTTTCGTTCACACAAACAAAGGATCAGAAACACATACAATATTTCGTCACTACAAAAAAGGTAATGATAATCCCACCATTAACTACTTAATATAGTAGAAATGCATGACCTGTCGAGATATAATTTATAACTTCCTATCTTCATGCCTAGTAGGCAAAGATTTACCTATGTGGTCAAACAAAGGATCAGAAACACATACAATATTTCGTCACTACAAAAAAGGTAATGATAATCCCACCATTAACTACTTAATATAGTAGAAATGCATGACCTGTCGAGATATAATTTATAACTTCCTATCTTCATGCCTAGTAGGCAAAGATTTACCTATGTGGTCAGTGGAAAGATTGATTCATTATGACCGTCCATAAATTTTACCATTAAGTAATTTTTACAAATCGTTACTTTTTATTTTCATGGGGTTTGAGATGCCTTTAGCTCCGCTTATCGTAACGAGAGGCTCTAGCTAGACGAGCTGAGCCTCTTTGGCTCAACCCTGGTCGAATTGATAATCAAGTGAGGACCTTTGTCCCTAGCCCTGCCTAAATTGGACTGGGCTGATAGATCGGGCCAGCCCAACCCCGACACTATTTCAATGAAAAGCCAAAGTGGGCCTTTAGCACGTGGGAAGACATCTTGTTTGAATGAGAGGTGTAAGGTTTAGCCCCAAGAAGTTCGAGGAAAGTTTTTAACTATTTATCAAAATGCACTAGAAGTTGAACTATTCGGCATTTTACCTCACGTGTAAATTTTTTGTCTTAAAACCTATTTTGACGTATCATCTGATGGGCTACTTGAAATTTGATGAAGAGAATGCTGAACTATGTGTAACCAGATAAAAAAAATGGAGGTAAGCAGTTGAATAGTTCAAATTTTAAGTGTATTTTGATAAATTTATTCTATCTTCTTTTTCACTTTGGGGTTGGGGTGGGGGAGGAGAGGAGGGGGAATAATCATATTCCTATGTATTTTAGATACAGAAATCTTGTTGTTAATTTAGCTTATGACAGTTCGAATAGAACTAGCCGACCCTAAATACTTTGAAAAAGGCGTTAATGATAATGAGGATGACAATTGGAATAGAACCAATCTCTAGATGGAAAAAAACAAAATATCAAAATCATAGAGGATATTTTCGATTATTAGTTTTAAATATGATGATTAGAAGCTAAAAAATCTATGTATTGTAAATATATAAGGTCATTTTTAAAAAAAAAAAAATGAAAAAGAAAATATAAGGTCGTTCTTCCCCTTTATTTTAGAAGCAAGCAATAATAGGGTTACTAATGAAAAACAGGCCCTTTCATGATTACTTGGACAAGAACAAAAACTTCTAAACTTATGCTGATGGACATGAGCGTAAATAGTACATTTAACTGCGATTAAATGGTCATGTGTCAAGCAGGTCCTTTTATGAAACGCACTTTTGGCACTTTTAATTGAATAGGGTTTTGATGGTCAACACTATGTCTCACTCCCATTTCAGAATGCTGATTGGCCGAAAAGTAGGTAGGGTTTCTTTTTCTTTCTCTCTCCTCCCAAACATCAGAATGAAATGTAAAACATAATTTTTCCAAATAGATTTGTAAATCTTACGAAATTTTAGGAAATTAACAAAATAATCCCATTATATTTTTTATATTAATTTTTTTTAGTATTTTTATATATATTTTACAATCAAGTCTTAATTTTTTATTTTGTTTTTAATTTGTAAATTATTTCTAGCTTAGACATCCAATATCCGAACTACGGTATTTCTTCTTTGTTTTTTTTTTTTTTTGAAAGATTGGTTTAGATGTTGGACATTCGATTCCACTCACCCACACCTTATAACTATGGACAAATGTCCGATCCAACCCATGCTAAAAAAAAAAAAACAGAAAAAAGAAAAAAAAAAGAAGCAGACATGTGGGAACTCAATCATTTTTCCTATTTTTAGTATAGGGCAAGCTTTCAATGCTTCTCCTACAACATAGAACTTATATACTTCCCTTTATCCAACCGTCCATTCTGAATGGAGGGCTAATATTGCCCTAATCACAATGTCACGTCTCTACACTATTTTATTTTTAATTTTTTTTATAAACTATTTTGATACCAAATTTTGTACATCTAATCCTCTATTAAACTCG